ATAATAATATCATATGTTCTTCCAGACTATGTTCTATATGTGTGCCAAATTCCATTGAAATCTGTTCAGCCGTTTCGGTGATACGTTCAAACAAACATATAAACATTCGCATTTATAATATTAGTAAGATGTGTTATAATTATGTAACATAGGTATGTTACTGGATGTCTTACTTGTAGTTACCCATTTAATTACCTAATCAGCAAAAAAGTCACAAAGGAAAAGGTAATATTGTAAATCAAGTAGGAAATGGTTACGAGTTGAGTTACTTGGTTACGTTTTAGTTGGAAAAACTGAATCGGGAAATCTTGTTACCTTTAGTAGGCGATGTCAGAGGGACCGACATTCTTATGTTGAATTATTTGGTTCACGTAACTTTAAGACTTGTTTAAATCAATGTAACATGAGGATGAGTTACATATAACAAGATACTATGGTATATACTACTTTTAATATTTTAATATTCAATTGCATATATATGCATAACATATGTTAGGAAACTATATATAACTTTAGGCAATAGATAAGAGAAGGTGCTGTCTCCTGAAACATAGTACTAGTTCAAGAGACAGAGCCCACAAAATTTTGTGAAAAAAGTTTCTTTTAATTAATATAACGTAAGTTTCTGAGACCAAAATATCTATTTAAAATATATCTTCAATTGTTAATTTTAATGTGAAGAAAAGAGATAGTAATATAGATGTTACGATAGTGGAAACGTAATGGAAATTCTTTTAAATTTTTCCTAATCAACTCTCATCTTGTAAAAAAAGTCTCCTCTGACATATTGACCTGATTACTGGATGTTGTGTAAAGAATGTAATACTGCTTTACACGGACTGTTCATGTTACGATTGACATATTTGAGTCTATGGAATGTTCCAGTGAATCTGACAGAATGTTTAGTCAGATTGCACAATGGTTATGGAATTTGATGGCATGGAAGCATCTTTTTATGTACGTTCGGGTTATATTTAAATTTGGAACTAAGGTAAATAGACAAATACGTTATAGAAATATTGTTAACAATAGAAAATTATGTCAGAATAATATCTCTTATATAAAATTCTCGTGTCACAATTTTCGTTCCCATACTCCTCCGAAACGGCTTGACCGATTCTCATGAAATTTTGTAAGCATATTAAGTTGGTATGAGAATCGGCCAACATCTATTTTTCATCCCCCTAAATGTTAAGGGTAGTCCACCCGTAAATTTTAATTACTTTAAACACGCGGACGGAGTCGCGGGCGACAGCTATTTGAAATATGTAATTGGCTCTTTAAATTCGCTTACACAATAAATGTAAATTAGAATTTACGTTTTTATCTTAACTAGCTGTTGCCGGCGACTTCGTCAGCGAGGGATTAAAAATAATTGATAGTCTATGTGTTCTTCTCGACTACGTCCTATGTTCTATATCTACGTTAAATTTCAGCCAGATCCGTGCAGCAGTTCTGGAGATATCTTCAAACAAACATCCATTCATCTAAACGTTTATAACATTAGTAAGAAGTATATTACAAAACTAAAAACACTCATCTTAAATCATCTCTAGAATTGATTACTTTGCGTTAAAATAATTTTAGTTTACTTTAGTGATTGCTTTTTTAACCAGCTTAATCGAACCCGCGACTTAAAGCAACCTTATGGAATGAACAAACTTTTCTCAGTATTACGAAAGTAACAAACTCCGATATAGATAGTAAATAAATATGACAGATAATTAAATTAACAAAATAATTAAGGAAATATAACCAGTATTATAAAACTGGTAACATTTCAAAACACGTATAGATTCACAACTTTACACGAGTGCAATTCGACCTGGTAAAGCGTTCTCAATCTTGTTTTACTTATAATAGAAATTCAGACAAGCATACGGATTACGTGACAAGATTATTTTTATATAACTAGCTATGCCCGCGACTCCGTCCGCGTGATATACTTTGAGCTGCGCGGTACTGGACATTACTTGAAATTGCATTACTTTATTTTTCTAAAATAAAAGTTTTTTTTTTAAATAATCGTAGCTTAAGTTACTTCTTATTACATCAGCTACCTACCAGCCAATAAAAGTCTTGTCATAATCGGTCAAGCCATTTCAGAGATTAGCCGGAACACATATTATCATCATCAGCTCACTATACGTCCCCACCGAGCGGCTCAGAGCCTACCCTAAGTTAAGGGTGATTAGGCCATAGTCAACCACGCTGGCCAAGTGCGGGTTGGTTGACTTCACACATATTTTTGAATTTCTTCTCAGATATGTGCAGGTTGCATCGCGAATTTTCAATATTACAAACAGACATTCCAATTTTATTTATATAGATGTACCTTAAAAATGTTTGACCAAAATTCGTACGAGTGCAGACAGATGTAACATGCAAATTTTTGTATTCATACAACATACTTTGAAGGCATTGTTTGTTGATCAATTTGTCTTTATACTACATATTTGTGGTTAATAATATACGAAATATTTTTTATTTTATTTACCTTTTAACTTGTAAGAATATTTTTGCTAGAATTTTATTTCAATTTAATTTATTACATACATCATCAGCTCACTATGTCCCTTGGGGATCGGAGCCTACCCTAAGTTAAGGATGACTAGGCCATAGTCAACCACGCTGGCCAAATGCGGGTTGGTTAACTTCACACATATCTTTGAATTACTTCTCAGATCATCATCATGTTTTCCTTCACCGTAAAAACGTCGGATAAATGTACATATGTATATCGATAAACACATTGGTACATGGCGGGATTCAAACCCAGGACCTGCAGATTGCAAGTCAAGTGCTTGGCCCCTTGGAGCCACCGACGCTCTTCATTATTTATTTTACGATTTAATTTATGATTTTACGTATATTATAAAGAGGAAAGATTTGACGGTTTACATTGAAGCTACAATATCCCCGGGTGACATCTTATAAATATTATTATATAAATGCGAAAGTTTAGATGGATAGATGGAAGTTTGAAAGTATCACCAGAACAGCTGCAGGAATGTTGCTGAAACCGGCATAGATGTAGAACATAGCCTGAAGGAATACAGAGGCTACTAATTAAGCTCTTTTTTATTTTCGCGTAGACTTAATCGCTAGGGATAGTTGCTGATATTATTAAGAGGAAAGAGTTTCTTTGTACTTAATAGGCTTGAAAACTACTGGACCGATTTGTAAAATTTTTCATAGTTACACTATTCCCGGTTGATATAGGCCATATTTACTAATTTTTTTTTAATTCCACGCGGACGAAGTCGTGGGCAACTGCTATTATGTTACAAATAAAAGCGTGATTAATTTTTACTCTATAGGATACCATAGACGAACTGTAGTTTGCTTAATGTTCGTGTATGGCGATCCTAAGCACTACTTTAACATCTGTTTGTTGCCTGTTTTAAAGTAATTGATATAAATTATACACTTAACTACTATGAGTACCGGGTTTTAGTGCTCTACATGTTAGTTTGATGATAGAGTTATTTAGTTGTTACATTTAGTTAAAAGAGAAAGTAATAGTACAGTATGTATAGACAATTCGTTATTACAATTAAATATACTATTTAAATGTATGGAAGAAGTTAAATGTGCATGAAAAGTTTATCTTCCATGAAATAAGTAAATAAGTTTAAATATAAATAACGAATTGGATTGTTTGTATGTATATCTGACGATACTCAATTTGTATTCCAAATGTTTTTAATGATACACTAGCTGTCGCTCGCGACTCCATCTGTGAATTGAAAATTATTAGTAGCTATGTGTTCGTCCAGGCAATGTTTTGTTTATGCCAATTTTCAGTGAGATTCATGCAGTCGTTCTGGAGATACCTTCTAACAAACATCCATCCATCTAAACTTTCGTATTTATAATATTAGTAAGATTTAAAAATAATACTGAATATAAGTATAATATTCTGTAGGATTTCATCATCATCATCAGCTCACTATACGACCCCACCGAGGGGCTCGGAGCCTACCCTAAACCAAGGGTGACTAGGCCAAAGTCAACCACGCTGGCTCAGTGCGGGTTAGTTGACTTCACACATATCTTTCAACTTCTTCTCGGATATGTGCATTTTGCATCACGATGGTTTCCTTCACCTTAAGAACATCGGATAAATGTACATATGTAAATCGGAAATCGAAAAACACATTGGTACATGGCGGGATTCGAACCCAGGACCTGCAGATTGCAAGTCAAGTGCTTGACCCCTGAGCCACCGACGCTGTGAAAATACTACTGGAATCAGTTAATAATATAAACTATTGAATAATAACTTAGAAAATACTTTGTGATATTTCCGTGTATAACTTGAACTATTATTATTATTAGAATTTGATAATCCTTATATAATACAGGTTGTGATTACGTATAGGTCTTGTCTCACTTGGAATCTGAAACTGGTCTAGTTTTACCTAAGACGGACGCGTTCATATGTGCGTAAGAAACGTCAACTCTGAGATATCACATAGAGCTGTTGTTTTAATTGTGTGGAATTAAAAAAAAAAAAGTTTTAATTTACTTTGACACAAACTGAGAAGATTGTAATTTATTTTTAATTTAATAGGATTTTATTACGATATCCAAAATGAACCTAAAAATAAAGTTTTTATATGCGAAAATCTTACAAATTATTTCGATTAAATCCCCTCGCCTTGAAGTTATTCTTAATAAGCATGAATAAAAACTATTCACCCATTTTTATAATTACGGAACCATAATTTGGGTACTAAGCACTCTTAGGGACCCAAACAAATAAGCCTCAGAACCAGCCAAATAAATAAAGAATTGCATTTTCGTCTTTAGCATATAACATTTTTTTTAAATTGGGGGTTTCATCATACTCTATATAGTTCCAGACTTTCTTCCACTTGACAAGGTTTGCGCCGCGGTTCCGGCCGTACTCTGGCATCGGGTGTCGCCTCCTTTGCACTAACTAACATATAAATACCATTACTTACTTTATCCCGATACACTTACTTGCAACTCCTCTCACGTACAACACGAATTTATTATAAAATGTTTAGGTTACAATATGTAAGTTAGTTAAAAATATCTTAAATATATTAGTTAAGTAAAACTGTTAATTTAACTACTCAAATCTAAAATTACAAAAATAAATTTTTGGTGTTTCGATTTTGAATCGATTTAGACCATTTGAAAAGTACATAAAATCGATTTTTTAATTCAGAGAAAATTCAATTTTTAAACCATTTTTTAAATATTTAAACATTGTCGTTTTATAAAATGATACAAATGTTATTATAAAACAAACTGTTTACAAATACATTTCGCTGTTTTCGTTAGTAGTGAAAATTATTTAATTTTTGTTTCAGATTTTCTTCGCCTTAATCCTCATATCAAACTACATCGAAATAGAAGGCGCAGAGCAAAAAGAGCAAAAGAAAAGAGACGCTAGCATCGGAATTGGTTACGGCCATGGTATCGGCATCGGCCACGGCGGCGGTATTGGAATCGGCTCTGGAATCGGCATATCATCCGGTATCGGCTATGGCAGAGTAATTGGCGGTGGCATTGGCGGCATCGGTGGTGGCATCGGCGGAATCGGCGGTGGAATCGGTGGACTCGGCGTAAGTTCCGGCGTAGGCATCGGAGGCGGAATTGGGCAGGCAGCCGCCCTCTCCGCCGCGGGCGTACCAACTCGGCACACGTACTCGGAGATCAACAACGGTGTCGCTATCCCCGTACCCCAGCCTGTACCAGTTGGTGTACCACGCCCGGTCCCTGTCGCAGTTCCAGTCGGAGTACCCGTGGATAGACCACGCCCTGTGCCCGTGTCAGTACCACAACCCGTACCACATGTAGTTACGAGACCGGTAGCTGTACCAGTAGATAGACCTGTACCGTACCCGGTCGCTCAACCTGTGCCGGTGACGGTTACTCAAGGTGTTGGCATACCGGTACCGCAGCCCGTACCGGTTGGTGTTCCTGCTCCTGTGCCAGTTGGTGTCCCTCAACCTGTAGCTGTTCCCGTGGGTACTGTTGTAACGAGTGCTGGAGGTGCAGGCATCGGTGCGGGACTCGGAGGAGGTTCTATTGTTGCGTCTAGTATTGGCGGAGGCGCTGTGATTGGATCGGGCTATGGCGGCGGCGCTGTAATTGGGTCAGGCTATGGCGGCGGCGCTGTAATTGGTTCAGGCTATGGGGGAGGCTCTATTATTGGTTCAGGATACGGCGGAGGAGCTATTATTGGATCTGGATATGGAGGAGGTGCAGTTATATCATCGGGATATGGAGGAGGCATTATTTCTAGTCACGGAGGTCACGGTTATGTTGAATCTCATGGACATATTGTAGACCATCATTGAAGACTTTGATTGATTAGAATTTTAAGTGATTATTAGATTAAATTGTACCAAATGCTCTATTATTGCCAATTCGGGTGAACCCAACGCAGTTGTAACCAGATATTTAACGGTGTTTTATGGCTTTAATATAAGTTTATATTTCTTTTTATAGAATTAAATGTTTTAAGTGAATTTTCATGCAGTTTTATTATGACTTATTCTTTCTTACCCGTATTTAATTATTTCTCATATTACTTTTGCCAGTTAAAAGCATATTTTGTTTTGCGTTAGGTTTGTACTGTAAGAATAATTTTTAATGTAAAAAAAAACAGAAAATTTGCAATTTCTTAAATTTTAACTTATCTACATCAAATATAGCCTTTTTTAAATCTAATTCGCTGGTTAATTTAGAAGATTTTTGTTGTATACAAATTAAAAAAATAGTTTGTCTTTTAACCTCCAAAATTTTGTTTCCTTGTCTTGTACCTACGTGACAATCAAATATTGGTAAAATTATTGTTATCGTATTTTCTTTCTAATTTGGATATTGGTTTTCTTGATAGCGAGCATTATCTGGAGCGTGATTAGTTGGCAGCCGATAGCGGACTATCAGTACGCGAGGAGTCGTTGCAACAGCTGATTTATAAAGTGGAAAATATTATTTTTTTAATTGCTCAAAAGTGAAAGAAAACAAAATGGGTGCCAGTGAGTTTGTTTTGTTTGATGATTGTCTTTTGTTTATTCGTAATGACTATAACTCATTGTTTGTTTTTTTGCTTTTCTTCTAAGTGTTCTGATTTAATTATCAGAAATATCTGTCAGCATATTTGCGCACTTTTAAGGCAACGCATCTGCGGTTCCTCTGGAGTTGCATGGGTGCCGGATTAATTAATATTAACCGATTTTCCTGCTCGAATCCCCCCTTATGCTATACAAAAAATTGTTATTATGCTAGTTTAACTTTCATTTGTAGCGATTTGAATTTCTTCGTACTATTCAGTTTAATTTATTAGGTTAGGTTAGGTCAAGTCACTTAGGCATTTCTTATCACTTCTGACACTTATTTCGGCATTAGATTTAAATATTTAAACAAAAAAGTAAAAGTATTATGCACATTAAAGTTTATAAAATTGTTTATTTTCAGAATTTCCTTTCTCAATGGAGAATATCCCGAGACAGAAGCGTTTCGGTTGCTTCTCGCTGAAAATTGGATCAGTTTTTTCGGCGCTTGTTATTATAGTAAGTGTCCTAAATGTACTAGTGTTTGATTAAAAGCGTTTGGTCATTATTTTTTTTATAATAAAAGGCAAAGTAGCATACCGCATAATTTCCATGTTACGTCCACGGACTTACTTCTCCACAGTCAACATAACTAGTTACAAATTTCTTTAACTTCGATTATCATCTTTTGTGCAAGGAAGAAGAAACAGAGAAAATACCACTACAAAATACCGATTTGGATAAAGAGAAGGGAAGGGTTTTAGAAGATGCAGTCAACAATACTTCATTCAATGCAGAAGCATAAATATACAACAAAATTCTTTTTTTAAAATATGAGTAGAAAAAATAGACCTGCGTTCAGCATTGGACGAATTTAGACTGAATATGATGATGATAATGATAATGATGAGAGATGTAGAGAAGAGAATAAAAAACTACATAGTTTGAGGATCTAAAAGAAATCTGATTTAGAAGTATAGAAGTATTAAAATTATTTTTTCAGATTTATTCTGTGATGGCTATAGCTCAATGCCTGGCGATACTAAACGTGCTGCCATCAAACCTGTCGCAAGATGAGTCAGAAATCATTGCGTCGTACGGTGTCATTATTCTCATCACTGTCATCCATGTCACCACTTTTGTCATCACTTCGCTTATGCTTGTTGGAGTGTTACGGGTAAGACAAACATAATGAAACTATTTATGTGTTTACTAGTTAAAAAGTAATAAACTAAAACTGTTATATTCCAAAAATAATGATAAGTCAAATAAGTTAATAAGAAACATTAGCTGGGTAAACTTTAGTTGTAGTCTATGTGCTCTTCTAGACTTCATTCTACATCATTGCCAAATTTCAGCGAGACCCGTGCAGTCGCTCTGGAGATACCTTCAAACAAACATCCATCCATCTATTCATCTAAACGTTCGCAATTAGAAGACTAGCTGTTGCACGCGACTCTAGTTGTTTCTAGGTATAAGTGATCCTATGTGTTCTTCCTGACTATATTCTACAGCAATGTCAAATGTCAGCGAGATCCATTTAGCCGTTCTGGAGATACTTACTATCGAACATTAATCTAAGCATTCGCATTTAATAAACTAGCTGCTGCACGCGACTCTGTACGCGCGGAAATAAGAACTTTATAAGTAGCCCATGTGTTCTTCCAGACTACATGTTTTACATCTGTGTCGAATTTCAGTAAGATCTGTTGGGCTGTTCTAAAGATACCTCCTAACAAACATCCATCCAAACATTCGCATTTATAATATTAGTTAAGATAAATAAAATGATTTGTGTTCCAGGAGAAAGCAAACTTAATCCGTCCATGGCTGGTATGGACGACTGTGCAAGTGATGACGTCAGTTCTCATGTTCATCTTCTGGAGTACGCTCAACGTGATCATACATTCCGGAGACAACTCCTTGATACTTTACGTATTAGAGTTCTTGGGACTTAGTAAGTATTCTTGAAAATCCACTAGATGGCGCTCCACTTACTTTTTGAAGTCAGCAAATTTCATGTTACTGTTAAGAAGTTAAACACAATAATTTAAAATTAATAGCAAAGTAATCTTTAAGTAAGATTTGTATGATATTTCCGGTCATAGGATTAGGTCAAACTCTAGATTTCTAGATCATTTCTTTACGTATAAGTTTACGATTTCCTTTTGGTATTTCATTTCATTATTTATAAAATATAAATTTAAGACATAGCATTAGACTAATTAATACTAATATTAAGCAACTAATTTCCCCTAAAATAATCAACAGATGATTAAGAAAGGTCATTTTAATGCGATTGTATATCTTATCAGTATTTGCTTTATAGTTAACGTTCTTTTGTTAATGCTGTTGTGATTTTCGGCAATAGCTTAAGTATGTTCTTTGTACTTAATGTAAGAAGTAGTAACTGAGGGAGTCGCTTAGTGTAGATTTATTGGTAGTATACACATAGGTTTATTTATAGGGTGGCAAACAAGTGAACGGCCAACTGGATTCGACGAAATAACAAACGACCGCGGCGTAGACATCCTTATTTGCAGAATCGTAGCCTATAATCGACAGAGGATGAGACGAACAAATTTACCCTTCCTATACGTTCTTACGGTGAACAAAAACATCGTGATGCAACCTGCACATGTCTGAGAAGAAATTCAAAGACATGTGTGAAGTCAAGCAACCCGCACTTGGCCAGCGTGGTTGACTATGGCTCAGTGGAGACGAATAGTGATATGATGATGATGATAAGTTCCCCTTACACTAAATTATCTTCATATTCCCATTCTCAAGGAAAGGGTTGGAAGAAAAGGGCACTAAAATAGGCTTCAAACAAGCACACTCATCCATCGAAACGCGGAATTTACTACCATTTTAAACCTGTCTTGTGTGTTCAGCATTGCTGACTCTACCACTTTTAAGTTACCTTAACTCCAAGTCTAGCTCATACTTTATGTATATGAGTTTTATATGAGTCTATACTAAGGGCTATTCAACGACTTTGACGACTATTAATTGAGACGTTCAGAAAATAAAAACTATATTTTTTTTCCAGCACTTCGTTTCTACATGTTGATGTTAGTGGCCAGTTACTACAAGCAGTTAGAAGATGAGAAAGATGAAACGGAACGACTAAGAAATATTATAAACCATGATATGTGGTATAGTGCAGCGTGAAACGGAAATATGGCCGCCGTACACGGATAGCTTCAAGTAGATGACGTGACGTACTTCCAATAAGTTTTAGCGGCGAGTAAAAACTCTGTCCGTATTGGTAACGTCAATTGAATGTTGAAACTGTACGTGTATGGTGGCTTTTATATTTTTATTATTGTGATACTATATTGTAAATGAAAATCCAATTTTGTATGGGTTTGGGATTATAAGAACCAATTTTTCTATTATTGTTTTTTAAGCGATTGTGTCCGTCTAACTATTTATTTGTTTTAACTGCTATTTCAAAATCATAAATATAAATAAGGAAACGTACCCATACTACGTGACTCGTTTGGGGGGGGGTCCTTAAAGTACTACTGTCAGTCACAGGAGGGGGGGACTCAGGTTTTTGTGACGTACTCGTTAGTTGTTATTTTTCATAATACATAGTTCACTAGTAATTTAAGTATGCATGCAGTCTTATGCTATTAAGAAGAGCCAAATAATTAATTTTTTTTTAAATTTTTGCCAGTGAAATGATTAAAAATCATAATTATGAATTACTACGTAAAAACAAAAGGGTAGGGGGGGTGTCTTGGCATTTACTACGAGTGGTCACCGAGGGGAGGGAGGGGTCGAAAAAACTAAAAAAAATAGGTCACGTAGTATGGGTATGTTCCCTAAAATAAAAAATAAATCTTAATTTTATTTTGGTATATTTTCAATAATGTCGATAAACACTTAAATGGCTAAAATATTTACAGATATTAAAAAAAAATCTCTTAAATATACGTTTTAATATAAAAATAATCATTTCACATCTTAAAAGGTAACTTTTTAATTGTTTGATAAATGAATAAAATAATACATCTTTATATATAATTCTTCTGTGAGTGTGTATGTCACTGAACTTCTCTCAAACGACTGGACCAATTTTGAGGAAGTTTTTTGTGTGTGTTCAAGGGGATCTGGGAATGGTTTAGATTCAAAATGTTGTCCGCTGGACAATGTTTTTTTAATTAATTTTTAATTTATTAGTAGTTGTTGATTTTGGAATGTTTTACATTGGATCCGACAGACGGCGCTACCATCGCAGTGTCAAATTTTAAATAATATTCGAATTAAAGACGTGTAGACAGGACAACGTCTGTCGGGTCCGCTAATTTATCTATATTATTGATATTTGATGTTCATCTGTTTTCATAATTTGGTTATTACATTGAAATTTGATATCCCCAATTTGGCTTTCATAATCCGTATTACCTTAAACCAAATCGATCCTTGTTATAAATATTTCGTTTTTATTATAAGGCTATAGCAATATCATTTTGCTACTGTAATAAAAATTTACACCTTACATCAAAAGAAAATGTTAAAACAATTCTTATAACATTTGTACAAAAGTATTATTAGGAATAAATCTTGTTGCATATCTATGCGGGATCCCTGTCTCTCGTGTACTTCACTGTGCCGTCCCTCTCCATCTTCACAATTGAACTCCATATTAAGATGACCAGGTAAATTTGTAACACTGGAATTAGATATAATATGCATTATTATGTATTCATTTATTTATTAAAACAAAAAAATATACAAAATATAATATATTAAAAGCACCACCGGCTACGGAATCCCATGACTCAAACAACCAGTGGTCAGGACTGCAGAGACAGGAACCTTCTCACGATGCGCGCGGTTTCTAGGATAACTGCCTTTTGTATCATGCCCTTAATCCAACTGTTTAGCTACTTGAGATGTTGGTCGAAGCTATTCGCTATCAGTCCATTCATCGATACGATTATCGGAATAAATAAATGATATACGAATTATTAACGATGTTTTTAAGAACAATTTAATGATTTATGTGCTCTCTGTCGTTATTCTACTCTATGTAAGATCGGTCTATCTATCTGTTGTCACTTCGTTCTAAATTTACATTTCATGCATCTATCCGTCCGATTTCCCATCCAATGGTCGGGGCTTCGAATCCCGCCATTCTACTATTGTCGTAAACCTTGTGCTACCACAAGCATAGAGCTTAGTTTGAATGGTACAAGAAATATTATTTAATTAACAAAAATCTGCTGATATTTTTATTAATAAAAATAAGTTAGAAGAGACCGTTGCATTCAGAGACATTAACTGATCACTCAGTTATCACTTAGCATAGATTTAGTTAAGAAATATGAAGAATGACATAAGTAACCGTTACAAGAGAGCAAGAGTAAAAATAGACAAATTGCTGTAATGACATAGAAATAAAGTTAACATCGTACGGATGCATGTCTTGGATAAACGTGTGGAAGAGACGAAGTCCAGCAGTGGATTAATGCTTGTTCGCGCCCGAGACGTGGGACAACCGGTGCAAACTGACGTGCACGAAACGTCACTTTTAACATCCCAACCGACCGCCGATGCATACGCGCACCGTATTATTTGTCTTTTCGACACTGTATTTGGCCCAAACAAGCTGATATAATGATGAAGTTACTTACTTAATTCAAAGAGTATAAGGAAGAGTTCTCCCGACGTCTCCCTGGTGAGGAAGGCGACGCTGTACACGAAGCCGATGACGGAGAAGACAGTCTCAAAATACAAGTAAATTTTCATCAACAGTACATGTTTCTGAAAACAACAATTTATAATATTAGCAACAATTTATGATGTTCATATAACACGAAAAACCGACAATGTGCCGGTGTATCGGCACAACACTAGACCGACTAAAATATCAACGAGGGGACTCACTACACTGACACTTGACTTGGTAAAAAGCGCGCCATTCGCTCCAAATGATTTTATTATTGTCCTAAATATACAAATGTTCTTTGTATTTCACTGTCAAGAAAGGTACAGTGAATGCTTTTAAAAATCGTTAGATTTTCAACATATTTTGTAGATTACCTTAATATTACTTACATATATTCCACATCTGAATACGCTTGTAAAATAAAATAAACACACTTATAACTTAGCTCTTCTAAGGTCATAAAATAATTCATTAACTGTGGTTTTCGGAGAACATAATCTGTGTATAAAACATCTCGTCAACCCTGTCATGTTTGTCAAAACAGAGATAATATGATTTAAACGAGATTTTGGTCTTAAAATGTCACGGTCAAATTTACAAAACACAACATTATCTTTACGTTTAATGTCCAAATTCTCTATCTATCCTTCTATTTTTACAACAAACGACATCTATAGACTCTTGGTGCGTATTCTTTTTGCACAAATTCCTTATTCTAAATTACAATATTCAGTCCATTTTTATTTTCTTTATAACTTATTTCCTTTTGTTTTAATTTACTGGCTTTTGGTTATAGGCTTGTTGTGCTCTTTACTCTATAATATTTCTATGAATAGTTACCATATGTAGGGCGACAATGAATATAACGGACATTCCTAACTCCAGCACTAGCACGGTGGTATCTGCGATAAGTCGGGGCAGTTCTGTTGCATCTGTCACGCCGTTGTTACGTACATAAGAGATGTACATTGACAGTAAACTTGTAACCACCACTGTCAGGATCTGGAATTAAAATAAGCAATAGTTAATTCCCTATTACGTTTGACTGTTGGTTTGTGAGATTTAAATCTCTGTATAAATATTTTTTAAACAGAAATTTTGGTCTCAGATGTTTGTTTTGTTTCTTTGTTTCTTTCGTTTCTATGTTTTTATAGACGCATAGAGTCTGACTGCTGACTTGTGTAATTTTACACCTTTAGAAAAATAATTTACAGATCGAGAAAAATAACTTTAAAGATATGTAGTAATATGAATAAATGTTATTTTCTTCATAACATCATTGTATTATCCCCGATTTGATACATATTCTAAACTATTTTGACAAGTCACTTCTAACTAATATTATAAATTGGAAAGTATAGATGTATTGATGCATAGATGTATGAATGTTTTTTTGAAGATATCCCCAAAACGGCTAAAAGGATTTTGACCAAATTTGGCATTGACATAGAACATAGTCTGGAAGAACACATAGGCTACTTATAATGTTTCTTTTAAATTCCGCACGCACGAAGTCGCGGGCGACAGCTAGTTATCATATAGATAATGACGTAATAATATTACTGTTATATCTATTGTAAAATAAAGATAATGGTTGCATTATATTTCATAATTAATGTACGAGTAGCAATTACACTTTTGTCCTCGTAAATGTATCGTGAAATTGACGATTCCTTTGTCTTTGTTGCTTTGTTCACGATAGTTTTATGTACAACGAGAGAATTAACCAAGCAAAATTTAAAGCATACCTATTTGTATTGTTAATGATGTTTCCTAATTTCATTGAGGCCATAGACTGTATCTTTTTTAATCTGTCATAGACACAAGCTTAATTGTTCTATAACCTTCTTTGATTCTCTTTTTTATGAATGTTTTAAAAATGTTGTTGTTGTTATTATGTTTGTCTTTTTGTCTTGTTTACATTAGTTAGTTAATAGACCACCTCTCCAACATTTTGTTATAAAAAAAGTAAGGGGAGGGGAAGTGGAGTAGATTGACGCATAGGAATGGAAAAAAATCACTTTCTGAGGGTCTCCTCCTTCGTCTTTTAAAGGTAGGCAGCGCATTGGCAATTACGAATATCTATGGGCCACCACCACCACTTCGCCATAAAAAAACGACGAAATGTAATTTTTCTAGAATATTCTTAGGATGCTAGAGACGGCTTTTTTAAATTAAAATGATTGTTAAGTGACATAGCAAAGCATGGTTAATATATACAATAAAAATATACAAGTTTGAACACACTTACTAGGTTCGCATAAGCGAAGACAACGAGACCTTTTCTCAGCGGAAAACAAAAGCAGCATCTTGTCAGTATTGGTATCTCTATGGAGTTGCAAATTTTCTCCCTGAAAAGTAAAGAAGAATCATGGTTACCACAAGTATACAAATTATACATGGATACGCAAAATTCGTGTTCTTTTCAAGATGTTTTCTTCAGTATTATTACGTGAAAATTGTTAAGATGGATGGATGGATGGATGTTTGTTTGAAGGTATAACGGCTGAATTGATTTCGATGAAATTTGACATGGATGTAGAACATAGTCTGGAACAACACAGGCTATTTATGTTTTATTTTAATTCCGCACAGACGGAGTCGCGGACGACTGATAGTTACAAATATTTTAATACTTTTGAAAATTAATGCATTCCTCGTCAAGGTCACAGGCTAATTTGTAAATAAAGGAAGAAAGGGGTTAAGGAAATATTTAAAAAAGAACAGTATAAATTATAATTGCAAACTTTGTATCTATATCATACTTTTATGTATTTAAAATAATGAAATTATTTTTAAAAATGTATTCACTGTAGCCTGTTATCAGTCAGTTGTCAGAATTGATGCAGACAATTAAAGGATGTGGTTTTCCTGCGATAGTATTCATGGTGTCAATGCATTGAGTAGTACTCTATTACTGTGACATTTTGTAACAACTTGTTGACTGATTTATACGACGTACTAGCAGAAAATCTAGTAATAATGTACCCTATGTTATCCTGGGATTTCTTCTTCCTATCAGGCTTTTCAACACTGGAAGAATTTTACAAATTGATTCAGTGGGTTCGGGGTCAAACCCTTGTGTAGTGTATGCATAAATATAATGTTGTTTGTCTCGAGCGTACACGCCATAAGTACATGCCAGAGAGAGGGGCTTCAGTCGATGTCAGACCTTTGGACCGGCAACACGTATCGGTACGTGAACGAGTAGTAGAAAATATATATCGATACGAATCTATATCCCTTTTTTTAGACCTATATAGATGAATATTTACCAGAAGGTATCTTCAGAACGGGTGCATAGGTATCGCTGAAAGGCATAGAGATAGAACATAGTCTGGACGAACACATAGACTATTAAATTTTTTACTCTGTGTTGACGGAGTTTCGGGCGACAACTATTAGGTTATAAGTACCATAGTAGTGGAAAATCGTGGGCAATTAAAGCAAACAAAGACGTTCAACAACAATAAACATTCAACTTGCAATGACATCAAATTACTTAACCAAGTTATACTACGTCAGACAAGTAATTACTTATCTTTGTTTCGAAACATCTGCAACTCTGTTACTAAATAACCAGTTACTAACATGTATGGTAAAAATATAAGCGTAAAGCGATTGAAACAATATTTTTAATAACAACTTTTTTATTACAAACTAATTATCTAAAACATATATAAACTTTATCTAAATGTCACAAAACATGGGTTACTCTTAACCGTAGGTTTCTAATACCAAAATCTCTGTATAAAACATACCATCATCCCTGTCATTACTGCTGAAAAACAGACATAACAACATGCTTTAAACGTGGATTTTGGTATCAAAAACCGATGGTTAATCATGTTTATCTTTTAGTGTTGTAAATATTTCATGTAAATGTGAAATAAATGTAAAACAAAATACAATTTTTGTTCAGAATTCATTCTGGATAATAAGACATGTATAATATAAATAGGTTCTGTCAAAGGGGATATACGAAAGGATTGAATTAAGATACGACGGCTGATAGATATAAGGAGTTTATACTACCGCTTCATAGCTGATGATTCATTGTGCAAGAACAGGAAGATCAATGAAATGCATGTTACTAAATATAGTAACTCTCTTGTCGCTTGCACCAACTACCAAAGTATAAAAATACTAACATATCTGACGGTGAGCGAACTGTGAATTGTAACGTAACATCTTAATTATGAAAAAGTTTAGATGGTTGGATGTTTGTTAGATCTCTAGAACGACTGGATGGATCTCGATGAAATTTGGCTTTTAGAACATAGCCTGGAAGAAAGCATAGGCTGTTAATCGAGTATTTTTATGTACGGATCACGGAATATTTTATTGAAAAAGGATAGTAAAAATGGTTATGCCTGCCAGTAAGGTATTCTAGTACAATTTTACTTTGTTTATATGAATGTTTCTCTTCGTTATTGTCCAAAAAGGCAATATATTTGCAAGTATTGAAGAGTTTTTGTGTGTTACCGCAATGAGTGTTGAGGCCTTAATAATTTTCCATACGTTTTATCTAATCGACTTTATTACTCTTATGTTTATTCAGCAAATGAGATTTGTTAGTTCAAGGTATTTGCTTAACCGTAATTATTTGCTCACTTTAACATCGCTATGAAATTAATTTCGAGTAACAAGGTAACAATGATATTAATTCTAACTATAAGTTTAACTGATTAACTTTTTCATTAGTAGGTTTCTGAGACACGAATTCCCGTTTAAAACAAGTAATTATATCTGTTTTGTCAAAGATAACGACACGGATGACGATACGATTTACACAGATGTTGGTCTCAGAAATACACGGTAATCCATGCTAAATCCCGTCGGAGAAAAGAGAAAAGTCTTGGTACAAGAGTACTTTATCACTTCACAAAAGAAGCGTTGAACAGATAGCAAAATGTTTGGTTCTTAGTAAGTTAATTTCAATTGGAATGACAACTTTCGTTACTTTATAATTGTCGTAAAAAAATGCCGACAAAATTCTGTTTACTACAACATAATTCACGTCCGTATCCTAGAGGGGTAGGCAGAGACAAAGGTCCTCAATTAAGCGCAGTCCTGGCACACGTCGCTTCTTCTATTTTCATCTTCGTATACATGAACGTGTTACTTTTTAATTCTATTTTTAATTATCAATTCTGATTTCTTTATACGTACATCAGTATTCAGGTCGTGCCCAAAGAGTATTAAGTGTTTTCTTGCAATACCACAATAATAGCGCGTAGTCGAAAACAAAAAAGAATGATGGTCAAAGTTCGTGCAGATTATAAAAATACAAACCGGACACAGTTACGGTACAATTCCACTGATGATAAGTATTTATATTAACCACGTAGTTCTAAAACTATGGCTCTTTTTAGTTAAGAATCTTTTTAACATACATATCTCAAAAACGTAATCCAGAGCGTCTATGGCTCAGTGGTTAAACACTTGACTTGTAATCTGTAGGTCCTGCATTCGAATCCAGCCATGTACCAATGTGTTTTTTGATTTGTTTATTTACATATGTACATTAATCCAACGTTCTTACCATGAAGGAATGTATGATGCAACTTGTACATATCTGCGAAATTCAAAGATATATGTGAAGTCAAACAACATGCACTGGTTGCGTGGGTGATTATGGCTTTTATTTTTAAGAGGGACGGAAGATGATGACGGGAGGAATGCGTTACTAATACCGGGTGCCTCGGGGAAAGCCACTCCGGTTATGTGGGACTCTTTCCACATCCCTAAAGTGTCATGGAGCCTAGGTTGACTATGGCCTAGTCACCCCTAACTTAGGGTAGGCTCCGAGCCTCTCAAAGGGCATATAGTGACGATGTTCTACAAAATATTTTACAAAATTTGTCTTTACATTTAAAGTCGTTTAGTACAAACAATACACGTTGACTATAATTATATTGGAAGTACAAAATCTACATATAGTAAAGATAATTTACATTCTCATCATGACCTTTCTCATGATATCTCGCAACACCTTACAACCAAATCTATGGTTATGCGTGACATTCAAATAAACGTTCATAAATCGACGCACAAGAAAAGTGAGAGAGGGAGATTGAAAATCATTAGAGTGACAGAGAAAGAGAGAGAGAGAGAGTTAAAATCATTAGAATGAGATAGAATAGCTTGTGTTCCTCCAATCGTCTTCTTTATTTTATCGCTGTCAAATGTGCGCCAATATATTGTCATATTTTTCCGCAACATCCTAAAGTTTTTTATTCCTAGTCAAGCAAAAAGTTTAATAAGCAAAGTATTTAATTACTAGTAACGATACTATTGAATACTTTTATGTATAATATTTCAATGATTTAAATTTCGCATTATTCGAGGCGTTTGACCGACTTCAAATTGCATGCTGATGCATTAATAGGAAGTTACGTAACTATTTCAACTTAGTAATGACTATATGTATCTACGCTTTATATAAAACTAGCTGTCTGTGACTCCGTGCGCGGAATTAATAAACAACTTAATTAGTAGCCTATGTGTTCTTCCAGACTACGTTCTATATGTGTGCCAAATTTCGACGTTTTGAAGATACCTTCAAACAAACATCCATCCAAACATTCGCATTTATAATATTAGTAAGATTCTCTTGTCACTATACACATTCGAAACGATTTGAATGATTTTTATTAAATTTTATATATTCAGTAGCTCTGAGAATCGGCTACTATTTAATTTTTAATCACGCGCAGACGGAGTTGCGGGCGACAGCTAGTATGCTTTATAAAACAATCTAATTCTATCATACATCTCATAGTCATCAGCTCACTATACGTCGCCACCGAGGGGCTCGGAGCCTACCCTCAAAAAAATATTCAGACGCTTGTTTATCCGGGTCATAAGTTAACTTGGATACTGCGATGTTATATCGTCGGCCACAAATTCTGATAATTCACAAAGGATGTACACAATTTTTAAATAATTATTTGTAATGAAATCCTTGTGCTTATTCGATAAATGATTTTAATACATAAAAACTATGCAATTATCATAATTTGGTAAGATTACTACAAATTCATAATTATAAGCTTTTTTTTTTATATCATAAGGTGGCAAACGAGCGAGCGGTCACCTGAAATCGCTGAAATAGCGAAGCGACCGTTGCCCATAGACATACGCAATTGCATATGCGTTGCCTACCTTTAATCGACGGAGGAGAGGATGCACAGAAAGAAAATATTTTCCCTTTCCATGCATCCTCTCATCCGGAAAGTCCACTTCCACTTCCCATCCTTTCCTTATAAGAAAAAGGGTGGAAAGGGAAAGAGGACTAATTTTGGCCTCCGGGACGCACACTCATCAGACGAAACGCGGAATTGCTTCC